TAGTTTCGGCAGAGTTTATAGTGACAACTGTTTTGTGAGATCGTCGTTTTTGCAATGGCTGATTTTCGTGAACAGCGTGCGGCGGTGAAATTCTGCTTTTTGCTCGGGAAAAGTGGAACAAAAACTCTTGAAATGTTAAAAACGGCGTACAAGGACGATGCTATGGGAAAACTCCAGTATTTGAGTGGTTTTCCCGTTTCAAAAATGATGAAATGTCAATTGATGACAAACCTTGTTCTGGTCGTCCTTCCACAGCCCAAACACATGAAAATGTTGAAAAAATTCGTGAAATCATCAAGGAAGATCGACGACGGACCATTGAAGAAATTGTGGAGCTGTCGAGTGACTGGTTTTTCCATCATGACAATGCCCCTGCTCACACAGCCCTGTCTGTACGACAATTCTTGACCAAAAATGGTATGACCCCTGTTCCTCACCCTCCATACTCACCCGACCTTGCCCCGTGCGACTTTTTTTTTTTTCCTCGAATGAAAAGAGACATGAAAGGAAAAAACGACGGAGGCGCTGTCAAGCATCTCAAAAGATGAATTTAGACAATGTTTTGAAAAATGGAATAAAAGACTAGACAAGTGTATTAGTGTAAGTGGAGAGTACTTTGAAGGGGATTGAAGGTTTGTGCTTAAAATTTGAATAAATAAGTTTAAAAAAATAAGTTCGGTTTCTTTTGGGTACCCCCTCGTATACAGCAGTTATTATTATGTAAAAGGCAAAGTCCTGTCTGTCCTTAGTTAAGCACCATGATATAAAGTTAGCGGGAAAGTGGAGATATAACTTCACAGTTCCTGAACCCCTACACTGAATGTAGGTTGGGCGGCCAGCATCACTCCATGGCCGACTTACTCCCAGGTAGGAAGTCTGCAGTATCTATTGCATAGGAGGCTGTATGACCTTCAGTGCCCGTATGGACACTCTGTAGGTAATTCAATTCCTTACCTCTGCCTTGAATCGAACATTGATTCGTCGGTCATTTAATATGTTGTCTATTCGCTATACTGACTGAGCTATCCTGTTGTCAGTTAGTACTATACATGTACAGAGAACTAGTGCAGTTGTCCCTGTTCTTAACTAACTAAGCACTACGCCATGACGTATGCGATATATGGATCCAAGTATTCCTGACCTCGACACTAGTTGGAGGTGAGTGGTCTGTTTCGAATGTATTTAAAACTGGCGTCTTAAGGGAAAGCATACATCGAGTTACTTGGGAAAATAGTGCTGAATAAATTATTTGGGGCCTGGTGAGATGAAGTAACAAAGGCATGGAAAATATTAAATAACAGGGAGTTTAATTAATTATCAAAATTGACATAATACTGCTAGTTCCAGGTGAAGTAAACTGCTGCTGGTCTTCGCCAGCACAGTCTTTCTTGGTTTCGGACCCCATCTGTACCTATGACCAAATTTCATTCGTTCAGAGACCGTTTATATGTTAAGAAATGGGGTCTCGTCTTCGACGAGAAGAGGGGATGGTTGGTCTGATAATGCACCACTTTTGTTACACCGTAGCTCAGTACGTGTGTACCCAGACTCATACAGCGCCCAGGTAAGGGTACCACACATACTTTGTCTCTTTAATATACTGAACAACATTTATGCAGTATACACAAAGGGCATCTGTGAATGAAGGCTTCTGCAACAGATTATGGAGTGACCTATTTTACATACTTTATATACGAATTACGAAGTACCTGCTGCAACTGAGTCTCTCTTGCTTGTCTGGCTGACACTCCGATATTGACGGTGGAAACAATACGCTTCTATCTCGAGCCTACAAGATATCATAACTCACTGCTGACAGAAATTCAAATCTCTCATTCAAGATTGCTTTTCTCTGTGAACTGGGGTAGCGCGACTGGCTACGGACTGGACCGCCAAGTGGTCCGAGTTCGAGTCTCGGCAGGGGCAGGATTTTTCTCATGTCTATGTCATCCAATAGGTTCTGGGGCTCACCCAGCTTCCTGTCCAATTTGTACAGTGAGCTCTCTGCCCGGGGAAAACGCGTCCTGGGCGTGAAGCTGACCATTCACCTACAATTTGTGGTGAGGTAAAGAAAACTTGGTTCTATACATCCAACCCTCATATATCTTCATGTTTAATTTGTTAAGCACAGGGAGAACTGTATAATTTTGCAAATTTATACGTAGTTTGAGAGTAACACACACGTGAACAAACCTTCTTACTGTCATATCCACAGAGGAATATGCTTGTAGTTGTTGAAAAGTTAAGACTCACCTGGGAGTCCGGATGAGGCGCTAGCCCACATGGACAGCAGACTGAGCGACAGCGCCTGCAGAACCCACATCCCTGTAAGAAACGTTAATACAAGGTGACTGACCGTGCACAGAGCAGATATGAGAAGAAACTTGACCTCAATTTCAGTAAGGGGGGCTGACTCATCAAAATCGCACCAGTGACGCGAGAAACATGTGTGGGAGACTTCAATGCATGATAAAGCCCGGATCCAGTTATTGCGGTTCTTCTCAAACTGTAAGAGATTTTAGACTATCATGACGACAGACTGTGGTGTACAGGATTAAGACGTAGTGGTTTCCGCCGTTTCGGAGGAACCTGGAAAAGGAGGCTGCAGATTCTTCCCAAATATTTGTAAAAACACATACGAGCTAAACAGTGTCATAACTCAGAGGATCACAATCTCAGAGTATTCTATTTTACTTCATCTCTGAGAACTATACTTAGCAGCTGTCTCTGCCTTCAGAAGGAAAGTTCTCTGTGAGACATGAAGCAAGTTCCTTTTAAGGGGACGACGACCATATCAGGCTTGTGTTTGTCAGGACTGAAACTGCAGGACTACACTACTAACTCATATAGGCTGTCCGGATGAAGGTATCCAAAATAAAATCATTATACCTCAGAAAGTATTTATTATACGCATTAATTGGTTACAAAGGGAAACTATCAAAGATTTTATGAGTATAAAACTTTCTCAATAAATTTAAACGTGGGCTGCCCTGGTGGCACGACAAATATCCAGGCGATATTCGACCTCGTTCCACGTTGCTTGAAGCATGTTTGGTGTTACCGTGGCCACAGCGTCCCTTATGCAGGCTTTCAGGTGTTGAAGCTCGTTGATCTTAACCTGGTTGACAATGTTCTTCACATAACCCCACAAGAGAAACTCCACCGGGGTTATATCTGGCGACCTAGGAAGCCAAGCAATTGGTTCATCTCTGTCGATCCAGCTCCTAGCCATCTCTCTGTCCAGGTGATTCCTAACACGGTGGCAGAAATGTGGCGGCGCTTGCGCATAAGCCGAGCATGAGAAACAGAACTTTGAGACTTTTCCATTCTGATGACATAAATCGGATACGTGTATGACAATTAGTTTCCGAGATATACATTTTTTTATTTTGGATATGTTCCATCCGGATGCCTGTATTTATTGAAGTTCCTTAACGATGGCATGTACTGATTTCAGTCAGAATAGCTCAGTCAGTGTCCAAGTTCTGTTAGGACTGTGTTCATTAATAATATAAGACGTAAATTATTTTCACAATTTCACTCCTTTTATTCAAAATAGTCTCCTTCTGAATCAATACATAGCTGGAATCGATTGAAAAGTTTTCGAAAACAGTCACTGTACTCCTTTTGTGGAATGGCATTTAAAACTGCGGTACATTTCCTTTGGATGTCCTGGATGGTGTCATGACGGTCTCCTTTCATCGCCAAATTAACTCCTGGGAACAACCAGAAATCTGCTGGAGCCAAATCTGGCGAA